GTCTAAGCCTAAGGCTACAAGCTACAAACTCAACAGTTAGCTAACACCAACTAACAGTAGCCTAAGCAGACTGCACTCAATGCAGCAGCATTTCAAGGATTTCAGACTTTCAGTCAGATGACAGTGAAAATTTCTTGCTAATTTATTTCACAAATTCTTGTAATGGCAGGTTGATATTAGTGTAACAAATAAAACACAACTACATCTACTGATGATAACGGATCAGTCGGATCTAGAAGTATAAGCCTAACAATGTAAGTAGGTATGTAACAAGACCTACAGCCACAGGCTACAAGTACAAGGGTATGAACCATGAGTATGACAAGACAAGAGTGTAGCAACTTCAAATTCAAAAGAATAATGCTTGAAGTTGAACAAAAATTTAGCCCGTACCATGAAGATGGCTATTTTTAACGGCTGAATTTTTATAATAGTGGATTGTTTATTAGGTCAAAAGAAATCAAACGGCAAGAAAAATCGATTTGGAATTCACACTGACAGGACGATAGGCACTGGCACTCGTAGAGTCCGACAATCATCTGACCGAACGTAAACAAGAGTGAAAAGCAAGTAATTCATGTTAATATGATGAGCATAATTTCTTTCTTATATGCTGCATGATCGAAAAAAAAACCGTTAGATCGTTATCTTGTTTTAATAATGTCAATGTTAAGGGCGTTTATGCATCTTTTCGCTCAGAGAAATCACTCTTTTAAGCTATAGCTAGAATGCGTCTACAAGATTGAATTATAATAACAAAAAAATAATTTCTTCAATTGGTTGTAGTCTGCGCGCGATTGCTCGTATACTTAAAGTATGTATATATCAAAAGAATAAATTCGCTAATTAAGCTTAGTCGTCGAGGATTGTGCTAGTACGTAGTAGCTGATGTTCAGAGAACATGTTCAGAACAGAAAACGGAGTAAGTAGGAACTCGCGTCATGAAAATGTCTGCAGTTGGTGCATGACTAGAGACTTTCTGACTTCTGACGCGCTGGGTCAGTCGTTAGGAAGCTGCTGGTGAAGTTGGTGGTTGTGTGTTGACGGTAGATTGCGTGCCGGTATTCATTATTCAAGAAACGTATATGGCCGTAGCTGCTTAAGCCTACGTAAAAGAAATCACTGATCACAGTTGTTTCTAATTTAAAAAATGAACCCCTGGGATTCTGTTTGTGAAAATTGAACCGTTTCGTGCTTGGATTGGAAGGTATCATATATGCTACTAAAATAATTATTGGGATATCCATAGTTAGCCTATATTGTTTTCTAAAATGTATATAATTTTCATTTATTTATGTATTTTGCATGAATTTAAACAGTGAACATTTTTAGGATATAAGAGATAATTTTGAGGTGGTTGGCAACCACGTGCATCCGCTATTTCTATTCTCTATATAAATAATATATATATATAATACATATGCGAATTCATTGAACGCACGAATTTTTTCTATGATGTTAATCTATGGCACAAAAGTAATTATTAATAAAATATTTCCCTCAATAGTTCATTTAAAAGCTGCAGAACCAAATTCAGAATTTGGCGAAATTTATTTCACAATTCATATCCATGTACGACGTGACTTTAGGCAGTCGAAAATCTCAAGTTCTCAACAATCTAATCCACTGTCTCGATAACGAGAGTAAATGCAAATAAAGTAACAGGCCTAACAAGTGGTTTGCTCTGAGTAGCTCATGCAATCACGTTCAAAGGTCATGCAATCACGTTCCAAACTTGTTTAACCACAGACAACAGAATAATTGACTTCTGCCAAACCACTGTTATGCTGCTGTACACCAAAATACTTCATGTTATAGAAGAATTGTTAGCACAGAAACGCAATCTCCACTTGTGGTGACTATATAAACCCTATGGTGACTTAAGGACTCCATTCTGTCCCACTGAGAGTGGTTCACGAGTACCTAACTCAAATGATTGACGCTAATCAGAACTTCATCTCGGCATGAATGGAGTTTGGCCGACGGAGAAATAGATGGGTTTGACGATAATTGTTTTGTGGATTTGTTGTTCAGCATTCATTCTTAAAAGAGACTAAATTTAGAACTTGCATCTCATCTTGAGCCTAAATGCAAAGTAATGATGAAGACATTAACCATATTTATGCGCGTCCTTTTTTCCTAATGATCATCAAGGCACGTTCTAAAAAATGTCAGTGATCACAAAAATTATAATGTAGTGGCAAATTCGAGTTCAAGTTTGTGATTGATAAGAAATTATAATTTGCCAATTAAAATACGATATTTTCTCTTAAAGCATTTGCCTTAATATATTCTGTGTAAAATGAATTCAATAAAAGCGTATATCCCATCATGTTTGACCGAAGCTAGAAGCCGCTGAGGGGCGCTTTAACTCTCAGCCAAATATTAAGCACCTGCTTGTCTTTCGATAGGAAATAACGGCATTGTGATTAAAACGAGGTTCTTACCGGACGCTTTCTGCAGTCACATATGCTTGGAAATTCTTCACGGCCGTTACTGCTGACCGTATCAGATCAACCGGAACTTTTGACGTAGAATGAGTCGGAAAGATAACGGTAGCACTATTCGATTCGCCTTCATAAACAATACGTTGAAGATGCATTCATCTTTTGATTAAGCTTTAATTACATTCGTGTTCAGCTCGTCGTGAGAGCAAAAAATTCTATATATGGTGTTACAGAATAATATCAGGTTAAAATTGAGGGCGATCAACAAGTTTCCTCAAATTTAAATCTCAATCTGTTTGTTCTAGGTCATTAATTTAGGGTATTAATTTACTTAACTTGCTCATGGTAATTGACCGGTCTCAGGAGAGCAGCTCTCCAGACTAGCTTTATCCAGAGTATTTGAAAGCAAGTTCTTATTGTGAATATTCATAATGTTATATAAAAAAATACATTTCAAGGTTACCCGAGCAGGAATAGCCTATCCCCGAATTTATGTTCCCTGAGAAGAAATAAATATTTACGTTTCAAATCTTCCAGTGCAGTAAATCCAGCGAACAGTCACATAAATGCAATGGGGTTAAAAAAACAATGCACATTATTTCCGTCTTATTATAACAACAATCGACAGCGATGACAAGTGTGGAAATACATGAAGGTCGCGTGCATAAACAACGCTTTCTCCAGCTCCCGCGGTGACGGAACAGAAGAATGTCGGCTTCATCTCGGCCCATCACCGTAAATAATTAATAATTAGGAGTTCTCTATGCTGCATGAGTTGTGTTCTGTGCATAGCCAGCATGAAGGTAGAGTGTCGCCTTCCATTCTGAGTTGTGGAACGCTGTTCACGGCCAAATGTTCATTTTCATGGTCTTACCATGCTGTCATTTTCCCGACATATTGCCTGTTAAATGTAATTGCCACGCAATTAGTAGAAAACAAATTTGTATTTAGGATTACTTCTATTGTAAACGATGTTTTACCAGAAGACCGAAAAATAGAAATTCAGCCTTGAAATAGTGAATGCTAAATTGAAAATCCTATGACTGAAGTCCACAAACATCATACATGGAGGGGTAAAAAGCTTAGTCATCATCTCATGTTAAGCAAGATCAGCCAATTTAAATTCAAACTCTAACCTTGCCTGGTATTCGCATTGGAGATAAGAGCTATTCAGTTTGTGATTGTGAACTTATATACATATCTGGTAGGACGATAATTGACTAATTAACGTCAAGGGACCTCTTGTAACCGTTCGCCTTGATATATCCATGAGAGTTATTATTGGAAATGTCTGATAACGTTCTGGTGGCCGTTTAAAGGCTCCTGGCGACGGTTGACTATCAAAATGAGCAAATTTCAATTATATACTGTATAAGATTATTAAGTGATTCAAATACTCAAGATTCAAGTGATTCAAATACTTATTAAGATTCAAATCAAATACTCAAGTGATATCGAGAGATGTGAAACACGTGTAGATATCACAGAACATTTTAATCGAATGCAGCGAACGGTCAAATAGAAGCATTGGGGCTTTGAACGATAACTTACGATGTTCGTATTTGGTTTCGAACCTCCGTCGATCGCTAGACTTGCTCTCATGCAATGCATGCCTACTTTCGAGCTCCTCTAGCTACTTAGCAACCAGTCAAAAAACCTTCTATACGAGCCTGCCGAGTGATAGTTAGTTTTTTGCTCGCTCCGTGGTCTAACATCAGCGCTTTCCGAGACAAATGAAATGAAGAAAATGTATTCAAAAGAAATAAGTTACTTTTTATCATGAGAGACTGCGATCGTTGCATTCGTCATTATTGAATTTAACGCACCATGTTATCCGGCATACTACTCGTATTCAATTGTTGTAAGCAAAATTTGTGTATAACTTTACAAATGATTTATTTTTACTATAAAGTTTCTAATTTTGCCTGTTTTCCTTCGCTTGTAATCCTTTAACAATGTTTTTTTTTTTCGTGTGAGTTAAAAAAATTATGAGAATGATGCCTCGTACCAACTTTTCTTTCAATCGATACCGGATCAGTAGTAACGAGTTACATTTTAAATTCAATATATTCATTTCAAAATATCCAGCGTTCAGTCCTGAATAAAATAGATTTGTTTCATTTTTTTCCAGCGTTCGGTACCGTTCCCCGCGGTCTTGTCAACGGTAACGAGCGTCCCGCTCCTTGGTTCCATTTTTTTTCCTGTTCGAAAACGTTTTCGAGATCTACTCTTGCGTGACGTCATCATGCAGTCAGCCGTAAAGGATTTACGGTATTTTGAACGGCGCATTGAACGGTAGATAGTCTTTACTGTCATGCGTGAGAGCCGATGAGTCTCATCTCCTGTGATGAGACAAATGTGATGACATGTACAGTGCTGAGCTGTGATGACCCGTACAGTGCTGAGCTGTGATGACCCGTACAGTGCTGAGCTGTGATGACCCGTACAGTGCTGAGCTGTGATGACACGCCTCATCACAGATAACCTTATAACCTTTCTATTTATGTTTATTTTCTTACAGGTCTAAGACAGCAGGTATTGTATATAACGTTCTTTTTACAAGTGGTACGCATAAACCAAATTAATAAAGATACCATTTGTATATAAACTATATTTCATTTAATATATTGAGCATTTCGATTACAAGATAATTGCAAGTGACGAATCTTAACCGAATGAAAATGTTAAGCGCGCTTTTTCAAACCAAGAGCAGCTTCACCAAGCAAGTAAGTACATAAGACTTTTAAATAATGCACCATAATTAGTATGTATGTCCGTATCTATTCTAGGGTCAGACAATGAATAATAAGATTATTGTAATATTTTTAATCGATGTACACTTCTGTAACGATGTTATTTACTTCTACTAAATGTTTTGTATTAAGTATGAGAAGAGTATAAGCTTCAGGATCAGTTTAACGAAACCTTGTTAAGTGTTCAACAGGGAGCTGATTAAACTAATTCTAGGTAGTCATTATTCGTAAGACGAGTATATTGCGTTGTTGTTGATACTGTAACGTAACTCACTTATGGTGTGATGTCGCGTTCTTGCGATTGCATAACGTAACACGTGTTTGTTGGCTATTCTTGCTAAAATGACACTGCATTGTACACGATACAAGACAAGTTCACCTACGAATCCCAGCAACATATTTATTTAACTAATGTATATTCTGCTGATACGTCATAACGCCAAATCAAGAAATGTTCGAAAATTGCTAATTTTTCGAAAAGTGTGCAATTTCTTGTCGAAATCAGCAGGGTGACCGAGTGATTAAAAATCGGCGACAGGCCAAATTGGCCTGATCAAGGCTGTAACCATTGTATATTATTATTTAATAATAATTTTTTAATAGTTTCGCCAATGCACAACGTAATTACAGGAGAGGTATATCTTAGATTCGGTAATAAAAGGCTGTGACCATTGCATATTATTCTTAAATAATTATTTTTTCATAACACACACCTTAATTACAGTGGAGGTATAATTTTATATTCGATAATATACCGAACCTTATTTCTCGCTGTGTCAGACTGCAACCGCGAGCGTCAGTTTGTCGAGCGAGTTGTCTTTCCTGCAGCGCATTGACCAGCAACGTGAAGGGAGAAAAAAATCTCCCTTCATCGCTGACTACGAGAAAATCTGCCTTATATATTATATATGAAAAATCTGCCTTATATGACAAAGATGCTGTACGCTTAATGCTGACATTAATGTATTTTCTGATTGCTCTATTTAGGCTTGGCGATATATCATCAAACTTTCTTGTGCTCTTAGTACTATTTCCGGTAAGTGTTTTGAAACTGTACATTTCAGGTGTGCTATGCAATGCATCTTTCAACTTTTAATTTCGCCAGAAATATGTAAAATTGATGTTTTAAATTAATATTGCGAACCTATTTTCCGCGTTTATTGGATTTAATTGATAATTACTGGTATCTTATCCCATGGCTCTGACATTTATATGCCTTAATCCATTATAGCGCCTCGGTCAAACCCACTCTCCTTCCATTTAATTTTGCAAGAGTATTTCTCAAACCTATCAAGGTTTAATGCTGAAGATTTCACTCTTTTTTGCCCCTACTTATATACCAGCTATTTATGCCTAATTATAACTTTTTCTTTCGCTAAATTAACAGAATTTTGCTATAATATACTAGTTTTTAGATCATTTCTAATCACATCTCTCTCAAAATTAGCGGCTTTTTGCTCCATTTACTTCATCGCTCTCTCTCTCTCATTCATCTAATTTATTTCATGAGAGTATTTGTTTAAATGTTTCCAGTATTCACTTTCTTTGAGACTTTTGTACCGTATCCATCCAAGAAAGTTTCAATTCTTCCCAATGCAACTTTCTTCCGTCATCTATGGAGAAACTAGCTGCTATTGTGTGACAAATTGATTGTCGTTTACTTCGATGAATTATCGAAGATCTACGTATGGAATTCAGTAGCCTATAATTGCGTAGTAATTATTTCGTTAAATGAAATAATTACCTACTGCCAATCATGACAAAATTGGCTATTTATCGAATTGGCTTTTTAGTAGCGAGCTTTTAAAACATCACGCGCACTGCATGCGTTGGGAATGTTGGCTGAGAATGCGTTTATTTGGCAAGAAAAATACATGCAACTCAAATTTCACTCTCATAATTTCATGAACGTGCAGGAACCCTATAGCATTGTAATAGGTTTTCTATCCCCAGCTGGATTTTTGAATTCTATTTTATATCTTGAATATGCGATGAGGGTATATATGTGTTGTACTTAAGGCTGCACTAGAGTTATTTACATAAGTGGACCTTAAGATTTGCTGTTTATTTCTCTTAGATGTATTGTTTTCATGTTTTAATTTACTTATGGAGATTGTAGAAAGAAGTATACTCGACTTGGTGATGCTTTTAAAATGCATCATGAATAGTTTCCACAGGCGAAACTCTAAAATTAATGCTAATATTTAATGCGAAAATGAAATGCTGCAAAATTAGTAGTAATTAGGCATTAATTGAATTAAATTAATAATAAAAACAAGATGACGTACGTTTAACAATCGGCAAATGTTTCTCTTTTCAATTTACTTAATGCGGATACAATCCAAACGTACCTTTCTTTATACTTCAACTAATTTATACGTAACCAGAAAATTAACCGCTATGCTAAAATAAGTATACCGACGCTGCGTGCTAAAAGATAGATCTGCGCCCCAGACTTCGCATTCACTACATAATCATACAACAATTTGTTCTTAGATCAATCTTAAGCTCGTGTATGATCTCCATGAAGCTTGTATATACGGGTCACAAGAACGAGGCGTTTTTGTAGGCAGCAATTTGTGTTTTTCCTGAACGTTCATTTGATTAGTGTTCGCTTGGTGATGGCTTCCATTGGCGTTCACTTCTCAGTCTCGTGATCCGCGCGTCCCGCTTCTGATCTAAAATATTTGGTAACCGTAAGCAGGGAAAGGAACTTTTAAGCAACAACGGTTATTTTTGATTGTTGGTTTTTGATAGTTGCATGTAAAGATGAGATTATAATGCTAAAAGAATAGTTTGGGTAATTAGATATATATTAAGCGGTAGGACTTTCGTTAACTTCCGCAATTGAAATTTATCTGTGGACGCCAACATAACCATATTCGACGAAATCAGAAAAGTTGGAAACTTACCAAACAATTGTAATGTGGCTCTACTAGCTTACAATTTACTCGTGGTACTTTCGATTTGGACCAAGCAGAAAAAGATCGTATGTAGAACACACGTAAAAATAGCCATATGTAAAGTTCCCCAAGCACGCACCTGTTGCACCTGTTGTGGACAACTCTAACTTTTCGTTGAAAGCGCATGGGTTGTGCAGGAACCGCATATTAAAAATACTTTCTTAGAAAATTTTTGTATTGTGATACCTCTAGAGGAAATCAAAATATACCTTCGTGGTGTCGAATTTGCCGATCTCGACATGTATGAGAAAAACGAATTCTGGACAGGAATCGTAAAAACAAAAAACACGCATTCCTATTGCTGAAGTCGTACGTATCACCTGGCTGACAGACGTTAGAGTGATTTCAGGCATAAGGATATTTCGGACAACGTTCGGAATATACGAGTATGAACGCATGTAGGTATGCAGTCGTACAATGAGCATAAGCACAACTGCCTGCCTTCAACTGACAGGCTTTATGTAAAACTCGAATGGTTAAAGGCCAGTAATCACAATCGTGCATTACTATTGAGTACATGAGTGAACGCCAGACTATGTGGTGTCATTGATGTGGTTGCCGTGTTGTTGTGGCATGTGGAATGTTGGAGATCATCTTCAGTTTGTTGTTCCCTGAGTCGTTTAAATTGATCTTGCACATGATATGGCAGGCGATGTTTCGCATTATCTTAAAAATCATGTGTGCTGCGATGGAGTGCATTGTGCATGATGCTCATGGATTTAATATATGATGTTGCTGGTAAGAGATCTCGACCCCACGCTTCGGAACAGCGTCCACTGGTCATCACTATATATATAGCTGCAGAGTTCGTCAGAACTATTCGTGCACCAAAAAAGGCGAACTAGTCCTGTACTAGACAAGCTGCACTAGTCCTGCACCAGACAAGGTGCACTAGTCCTGCACCAGACAAGGTGCACTAGTCCTGCACCAGACAAGGTGCACTATTTCTGCACCAAAAAAGGCTAGCCACGTCTACAGAACAGTTGCACAGTCTATAGAGTCTAGGCACATATGGTCCCACTAGAGCCCGATGCCTACGTTGCTCGCTCAGTAGAATTATTGTAGATTTATGAATTGGGCCTCAAAAAATTTATAATTTACGCATTTCATTCATTTATCAGGACGATTATTAAATAAATTATTAATATGAACGCATTCCTCCGGTAAATCGTAAATCGAAATATTTCTTCTGATCGGTTTTAACACAAATTCTGAACGGTGTCTCCGGGTTGTGCCCATCTCCAACCAAGTTTCGCATTCTATTCCGTAAATAATTTATTTTGTGCGTGAGATTTAGTACTCTCATTTGAAAATCGTTTGATTTATTTCTTATTGCACATTTTATGCGTTGGTGCATGGGACGTGCAACATTCGGACGCGCGCGCGTTTAGCCGCACGCGGAAGCGACCGCGAAGCGTCCGGTTCCTCACGACGCCTTTCATCACCGCCGCCCCAGGAGTTATTATAGCGCTCGAGGCGGCGGTGCTGAGCTGCGCATATGTCGACACGCGCGCCCCGCGCCCGCCATATGTGCCACCAGGTCCGGTCACTGGCCGATGGTCCGGTCACTGGCCGATGGTCCGGTCACTGGCCGATAGTCCGGTCACTGACCGATGATATAGTGCTAACGTCCATGTAGGGCGAATAACTTATGATGGGTCGGTTATCAGAGGCGTATAAAGTTTCGGAAATAATTTTACTCCTTTTAATTCTATCATAATCGGTCTCAATTTTATTCGGAAAATAAGTAAAGAAAACATCTAGTATGTACGAAAATAATCAGGATATACAGCGAAACCATTATTTACCTGCCATAAAAAATAATATATCATTTACGATTGAAATCTATTGATATGAATGCCGACATTGGGTGTGGTCTAGGCCCTCGTTAATTTAACTTTTATCTGATCTAATTTTCAGCCAAACAATGGATTAAATCTTTGGTCACTCAGCCGACACGCATGAGTTGATGTTTCATCAGACGTGCAATGAACACGAACTTTATTATTG